AGAACGCTGGGACATCTAGTATTTCTCATTGACGGATGACTCTCTCTCTCTCTCTCCGCTGGAGACCTCATGAAGACTTTTGGAAGGACAGTTACAAATGGCCAACTGATTTCATGCCCATGCAGCTGCAGCGGCGGCTGCACCCATGGGAGGTGCAGGGACACCCTCAAGGGCAAACAGCCAAGCCTGTGTGAAGTAAGAACCGAATAGCTACCGCTCTCTGGGAACTCTTTGGTACACTTGTGCACCATGAAAATGAAAATGTATGTGCAAGTCAACGGACCTCCCATGCCATTTGATGTGATAGCTCGAATAGCAACTCTGCAGCACCATTTTCCGCCCCAAAGGTTTGATTTTGCAGACCTCAAGCCATTGCTCGAAGCTGACTGATCTGACTGCATAGAACTGCCCAGTACGAAGTAGTAGTACTGCTGCCCCACCGTCATGGCTTCTCGACTCAAAGGTCAAGTTGAAGCTGCCAAGGCCTTGCCTGCCAGGTTGTGTTGTGAGACTTGCGGTTACTTGTTGTTTGGAGTAGTTTCTTGACATGTTTTATGTAGACTTGTCAAGTGTCGACCTATTCTTCTTTTGAGATTGGCCTGAACTGTTTGGTTTGTCCTGTCTCCAGAGCTAGGACAGCTGTCCAACGGCCGAAGTGTTGAGAAAGACTTTGAGATCGGAAACCATCTGTGTGTGTGCGATATTTCAATTTATACTATGTATGTGTATGTATAATCATACAACAGTATATAACAGTAATCTATGTTTATTTATTTACATGTCTGCATGTGTGTGTGTGTGCGTGTCAGCTTCTGTGTTAGGTATGTGCGCATGTGTGTGTGTGTGATTGAATGTGTGATTGCGTGTGTGATTGCATGTCTGTGTCAAGTCTGCGTCCACGCGCATATGTGCTGACGTCATGTTGAGATCGGCTGTTTCCTGGCATGCTTTGATTTATCGGCCCTATTTGATTTGAAACTTTTTTGGGTGTTTGCTGTGGAGCGTTTGATGTCTTTCTGAACCATGAGGTGGCATCTTGTTCCTGGTGTTGCAGTTCTTTGGACGTTTTCCGTAATTACATGACTATCGGTGCGATTGTTCGTCATTCTTGTCTTTTGTTTGACGACAAGACATCGTTGAACGCTACAGTATGCTTCAACATGCTGCATGCCCATGCACCCAGATGCCCCTGCCTCATCCTTCAACCAACCCGACAACTCCTTGCTGAGTTCAGAGCTAGACATGAAGGCTGGACAGCTGGCACACTTCTGACACACTTGGCAAACTTGCACACTGTGCGGCAGGCACTGCACACCTCTTCAGGTAGTTGGAAGAAGACTAGTTGCATCTCGACCTCCAGTCGAACTCTCCGAGATTGGCTCGAGGCCCAGGGTGGATTTTCACTTTTCACTCCGGGCCAAATTTCCAAGTACGGCCAGGACCAAATAAAGGAGAAAAAAAAAGCCCAAGTGATTTTGACAAGACACGTTACAAAATCCCACCTGGGATCCAGAAAACCTTCACCGGTTTTGGGGGTGAGGCTTTGGAAACCAGTTTGAGTGGTTGAGTAAAGCAGGACAAAGGGCAAATGGCCGAAGAGTTTGACACTGGCACCATTGGCACCATTGGCACCATTGCTGTTCCTTGTTCACACACAAGTTGCATGATGTTGCATGTCCCCTCAAGCTGCACCTCAGAAGGGTCACACCTACACGTTTTGCTAGGCTTTGACTCTTTGACTGCTGAAAAACCCGATAAAACCCGTCTTGAATCATTTGAATCATGAGATCATCAAGAGATGATCATGAGATCGTCATGATCGTCATGAGATCCAATGAGATCATGAGAGCCCTGGGGACTCCCTCGAACTGTCTCCAACATATTCCGACACATTTTAAACCTTCAAAAATGTGGCCTGCCGCCTTCGGAGAGGAAGCGACCAAAGCCACCTGAGGGATCGAAGATGCTCAGTTTGTGACTTTGATGTTTGTGACCCGATCACTTCACAGATGTTTCACCTATGGGCCAAATTACTTGCACGAGCCCTTCAACAAAAGCAATCTGTTAGCCGAAATGACAACGTGTTACTCTTGCAATTGCAATACCCAGGACACCATCCCATTCTCTGTTCTGCTGGGGCAATTCAGGATTCGCGAAAGATAAGAATGACTCTGTAGCCACGTCCTATCGGCACAACGGGGCAACCACTTAGACTTCTTCCTTCGAACTGAGACCTCAAGCTCTTAGACGGCATGAATTCTGAAAATCTTTCTTTTTAAAGAAAAAGTATATTTAGACTTGATTTATTTGCTACTTTCCTGCCCGCACCTTTCCCCCTCCTGCATTCATTTGCAAAACGGGCCCTCGAGCTGCAGGGAATTTGCTGCACAAGTCCCAAAGCCTGAATCAGCTGCGACATGCTGCGACAGATCCAACATACCAAGCTATAATATGCTATAATCATTATAAAATCAAATATCATAAGAATGCATAAGATATGATACAATGTCATAAGATCCAATTTGATGTTTGAAGTCTGCATGCTTTCGACAAGCAAGCTTAGGCGCTCTTCAGCGCCTAGTTTGTTTGGCATGCCTACAACAAACACATACAAACACCAGAAAACAAAGCACTTTCTGCAACATTCTGCAACTGCATCTCTGTTCTAAATTCTGCATGCTTCAAACTTAGCAACTAACTCTTCTATCTCCTGGCGCAAACAGAACTCAGACTAAGCAGTACTAAGCCATGTGCAGAATCGATTTTGCGATCTTGCTCGTAGGCCAGTTGAAAGACAATCGACCTGCTAGTGTCTGAACACAGACCATGAGTGAAATTATTCACTCTGTCTGCCACTGCATAAGTGCTGGCAAGAATTATGCTGGACTGGTCCTTTTTGAAAGGTCTGTCTCTTGGGTCTCTTGGGGCTTCTGTTTGTTCATTCCCTAGGAGTCCATTCAATTTTACAGTCTGTGGTGCATCTGCCCGCCTTTGGGCTTTGACCCTTCGTAATGAATGGATCTAGATGACTTTTGACATCTGTTGACAGTTGCTCGTGGATTATCTTCAATGTGGTCCAATTGAGAGCATTGCTTCGACCTCAAGTATGAGAGGGCTTAAGTTGAGAGTGGTTGGTGTCCATCGGCGTCAGTGCATACACCAACATCTACTCAGAGCCCTGCCACAACGCCTCAGTTCCACCCATTGTCATGCATATAGAGGCTGGCTTCTTCTCAGCGCATGTACTTTGGCCTCTTCCTTTGGTGCTAGAGAAATATAGAGAAATATTCTCACCGTGAAATGCATGTTTGAATGATGAGATCGAAGCATGAAAAGGCTATAACGCAGAAACTCAAGGCAATAATACTCCACATTGTGCGAGCAATCGTTGTTTTTGTGCTCCGCACGATCCTGACACTTCCAAAGCTAAACATGTAGCAGAGGAGAGCATGACAAGGTCATGTCCAAGATCAAAGTGACAGCGTTACTGCAGGAAATATTGAAGCTATCTGCTGAGCTCTAGCTGAGCTCTAGCTGCTTTTTTCACAATGCTCTGACCAAACTGCCCGATCTTTGGATTAGACTTGCATTGTCAGCTCAAAATCTTTGCGAGTTAAAAACTCACATGCTGGGGCACAGGAAACTCTGTACAAGTTCGAATAGGACTTGGTCCGAGGAAGGATCCCCTCAGTGCCTACATGCCAAAAATAAATTTCGGAAGGGCAAAATCTCCAACCATTTGGGCAGCTTCAATCAGAACCCATATCTGCGTGCTAGACTCTGCAAGACTCTCGTTTATTTTTGGCATGATATGCCACCGTGCCACCTGTGAAAGAACCACAAGGCACCACAAACGTTGGCACCCATCCATGAAGCAGCTGAGTCTACTGGTAAGCAAAGGAGCAAAAGAGCAAAGGAGCAAACCAAATGATTCGAACAGCATAGAATGACACTTGGAGCAAAAAGGTGAGCATCTTCACAAACACGCGTTCGCTTCCTTGGGACCAGATTGCCTTCTTCTTTTTGAGTTCTTTTTGCAAAGGGTGCTTGTAGAGCACCTTAAAACCAGACTGCTCTAAATTCTGGGCATCCAAATGTCCTTCGCTACCGGCCTTGACCCAATTTCGCTGCGAACAAGCTGAATCAACTTGAACCAAGCACGTCTTTCTATTCGACTGCGTTACAAATCTCAGACAATGTCAGCAGCTGTCTTTCACAAATCGCGTCGCCAGTTCGAGAAGGTTCTGCCTCGAATTCAATTGCTTTTATCCACCGAGTCATATTACTACCTTCTAGACATCACGCATCATTTGCATTCATGCAGAATTGACAATTTTGGTATACGCCGGGGTTGCATACTGATCAACTCAGCTTATTCTCGTTGGACCCATTGCCCAGTGTAATGCGCTCCAAACTCTACATCTGACTCTCTGTATACTTTGCAATTGCAATGTCTGGATTCTGTGGACTTGTCCGATGTCCCGGATGTTTTGGATTCTGCAACAAATCCATTCCAAGAGACAAAATGTGGTTCACACCTTTACCTCAAATAATAGCGCGGGACTGCACTATTTCAAGATCAACGGCATCTTCATCTCAAGGAATGGCTTCTGCAAACAGCTCCGAAGATTTCAATCGAAAGCAGCTACAAACATACGAGAGAGGGGTTGAAGAAGGAGCCTATCTCGATCCGGTCTTCTGGAAAAGGAAGCTCGGACAATCATAAACAGCCAACTGAACAATACATAAGCGATTGATGTTGCTTGTTGTTTTCAAAATTCGAACGTCGAAAACTCTATACTCTATACCACAAGTGCTTCTACGAGCATCACACCCAAAGCGTTTGGGCTAGAGGGCGCTTCCAACAAAACCCCTGTCACAAACCCGAAGCTCACCTGCTCTTTCAGCCAAGGCTTTTAAATATGAGTTCGGGCGATCTTCACTGTGTCACACCCTGAACTGAATCAGAATAAAGCATACTCAGTGCACGGCTATTTCAGCTAGGGCACCACTGCAGCCACCACAGTAGAGAGCAAAGCAGCCACGGCCAAGAAAAAGCAAAAGAAAGGCATCGCTAAGGAGAAGCCACCTTCCTGCACAACAGGACCCACACAAAGGAATACCCGTTTGTCTTCAACTGCGGCAGCTGAAACATAAGGAAAGCAAAAGTTCACTCCTCGCATCCTCCCCTTGAAAGAGCGCTTATATGGAGTGAACCCCAACATCACTCCCAAGCAAGTTGCACGTCACAAGTTCATCAACAATTGTCTGTGCCTTTCGCAACGCACCCAGCGCAACCGTAAAGATTGCCTGCCATCAGTTGACGTGTTACAGAAATAGCTGGCTCACCAAGACAAGGATTTGGCAAGACGCAGCCTTGTTTACAAATGCTCACAAACACATCTAGTCTAGACCTGTCAGTGTGTCATGAGCTGTTCTTCTCCCGCTTGGAATGGCCAAGATTGGCCAAGTTTGCTGAATGCTACTGTCATCCCAAAGCTCGCGCCTGGCCAAGACCAAATAGGCTGTCCAGAAGCCCGAAAGACTTGCCGCAAGAACCTATCAATCACAGAGTGCGCATGAGAGTACATACCATTCCAGCTCCAGTCCGCAGATGCATCTGGCGAATTTATCTGTTCAAGAATCTATGTCATTGTGTGTCTGTGAGACCTTCCTTTGTGGTTTTCGCAATCTGACCTGTTTTGTTTGGATGCACCGACTCAGCACATCCACTCAAGTGAAGGGGAGTACATCGTCTTTTCACTTGGAATCCAGTGGCTGCTGGTTTTGCAAAACACAAAAAAACTGCACTCCACGAGGAGTTGTCGAGTCTAGGAAGGGGTCATCGGCGCGTTAGTTGATTCATGCAAGCTCTATTCAAATATATCACAACTGAAGACAGTTGATCTTCAAAACACCAAAAAAAAACATGTCAACGTGATATTCACTTCAAATTTCAATGCTGTGGGTAAAACTGTACCCAATTCTAGATCGGCATTATTGCCTGATGACACTCCGTGAGATAGCCTGCGCATTCCCACCAAGCAACGGCTGTTTGCAGGGACAAGGACAAGAGGCAGCACTGGCATGATAGTGGAAGCCATCGCTATGGACAGAAGTCCTTGGTTCAATGCTGGTGATACAGTAGGCAGTTGTGAAATGCAGAGACTTGCAATACACTGGTGTCCATTTTTTCTTTTCTGTCCAAACCCAAAATTATCGAAATAGAATACATCATTGATGCACACCGGTTGCAAAAGCATGATGCCACGCCAAGGTGCCACCTTCCAAGACAAACGGCACATTCGGCAGCAGAGCAAGGAAAGATGCACCCAAAAGAGGCAAGAATGATATCACCTCAGAAAAGGGTTGAAACCCAGCCATGCCATTCCATGCTTTGCATTACCCCGTTTGGAAAGACTGATTTGAAGCATCAAGCAGGATGCAAGAGGAAAGCCTTTGAGGAGCGACATCATTCCATTGGCACATCTGCCGAGTTGCAACCAGTGTTGAGCGTAGGCCGAGCGAGTAGCCACCAACGGCCACAAGTGGCATAAGCCCCCTTAGATGCGGTTTTCATTTCTGAATGGCATCAAGCGATTGAAGCCAAGACCCAGAAAGGTGCCACAAACATGTCAATTTATGCGAGGTTGCCAAGCAACCAATCAGGGTGGGCGCAAAATTTTCTTACTCAACACATTCAATTTGACAGCGACTCAACTCAGAACGGTCAAGCTGCTGAACTTGCCCTTTTTCCTCGGAAGCGGGGAATGTCACTTGATCTCTGTCAGCCTCCTGCCACTGTACGGTTGGGTAGGCTCTGTTGGCCAGTGCCATTCATCATTAACCATGAGTTGCAGTATGCTTCTATGAACAGTGGCCAACTGATTGCTGATGGCTCGTTCAGTTTGAACCAGTCCCTCACGGGAGTGATTCAGCTGCATCAAGATTTCTGTTCAAAAATGGAAATGTCTCACAGTGATCTATGAACTCATGGGTATGGTAGATCATCTCGCGACAAAGCGTGTGCAGGCGAGCGAGGCGAATCAGTTCTTGTAGCCCTTGCGCAATATTAGCAGGTGTAGTTGCCATGGGTGGTGGGTGGGCCTAAAATTCAGGCAACTCGAAAGGGAGATACCCTCCCACCACTTCCCTTGAATCAGAACACTACCTGACATGAAAAGTTGCTGTGACAAATTGAATGTAAGCTTTGCTCAGCTACCTTCGCAAAGATGTCTCGTTTGAAAATAAACGTTTGTCAACTTCGTCAACTGCTCTCAGTATCTTTCTTACTCAACTCATTCAATTTGACAATGACTCAACTCAGAACGGTCAAGCTGCTGAACTTGCCCTTTTTCCTAGGAAGAGGGGAATGTCACTTGATCTCTGTCAGCCTTCTGCCACTTCCCCCCTTGGCTTCAAGAAGGGCTGACACGCTCCAGTCCTCGAGCAGAGCTGAGTATCTTCTCGAAAGACTCCACAGGTGTCTGCAAACTTTCTGGTAGCATGTCTGACTGACGGCCCCGGAGAGGGCGAGTCTGATACATTCGCTTCCGTGGGTACTCTAGCGTACCACGCTAGTATGCACCTCTCTTCCTCAAGAAGAGAAATCTCGTGCGCAATCTTGGTCAGGGTAGCATTGCTGGAGCACCCCTTCAAAATCAAAAATCTGGATCCTTCATTATCCAAAAAACTTACGAGGTGCCGAGACCCGAGAAGTGCACTTGATAGGTGAAGAGCAATCAAAGCAGCGAATGCCTCCAGCTCTCCAATGGCCTGCTCCTGTTCCTCAGCCATGAAGGACTCGCGAAAGTTCGAGTCGACTGCTCCTCCAAACCAAGCTCTGACGGTACCAGATTGGTCAAGAAGAACTCCTCCAAGTCCCCCGGTCTTGGCTTCACTATCGAAGCTGGCATCAGCGAAGAGGAAGAAAACATCACCAGTGTTCGCCTCCACCAGTCGGGGTTTCGCATGGATCATCCTGGCCACAAAAGTGGACAGGGCAAATTTAAATAGCGTGCTTTCTTTCAGCTTGTTGTCCCTCGGCGGGTTGAGTGCGTGCATCCCAAGCTCGTTCAAAAGTCGTCGGGTGGAGCGCCCAAACAGCTGGCCCTCAGCAAGCCCGAGACAGCCCTGAGGGCTGATGCAGCATGAAAGAGTCCGCGCCTGGAGGGCGTCGGCTATCTGCTTACAAACATCCGCCTTCCTTTTCTCGGTGTTATTGATGAAGACTTTCTGCTGATCAGTAGCACTGAGGTCAAACAGGACGCCCAGGGCGGAGATTTCCTCAGGCATTGAATCCGCCTTGTCGGCAGCCTTGTCGTATGACCACCCCAGCAAATCCAAAAGCGCTGCGATGCACACATAGTCGTCGAGGTGGCAGGAGGCGATGATCAGCATCTGGCGCGCCAGCCACTGAATCAGCTGGAAACGCCACAACGCTGGCCCTGGCTCCGAAGGGCAGGGGGTACTGCTGATAGCACTCTGTACCCTTGGTGTGGGGGTTGTACACAGCAAGCCTCGCCCACTTCAGCGACCCATCGCTGACTGCGAGATGACGGTATGCAGCTTTCAAGTCGAAGCTGCGCCCCGCTACCTTGGTGCTCCTCTTCCGACTTCTCCTACCCCGAATAAGCTGCCATCATCGCAGCTATAGTGTCAACTCCATCCAGCACCGTGCACTTGTTGGCGACCGTCACGGCACGGCATTGTTGATCCGGCTCTCTCTCTCTCTTTCTCTCTCTCTCTCTCTCTCTTTCTTTCTCTCTCTCTCTCTCTCTGTAATTGTCTATTAGCCTCACCTTCTCAGATGGCACGTCTTGGGGGAGCCGGTCTAGTTTCAAAAGCCAACCCTTCTTCTCTTCTACCGTCTTCTCCCACAGCTCGGCATCCACCAACTCCGACCCACAAGACTTTGTTGAGTGCATGATGGCTTTGTTGCTGCGGTTGGATTGGTCTTCAAAGTCTGCGATTGAAAGTGTAGCTGGCTGGTAGTCGGGTAGTAACATATGCCCCCCACCTGCCTCGCCAACCAAGTCAAGCCCAGAAATCATGGCATCCACTATGCCAGGATCAGGGTATGCCATTTCCCTGACCATCTCCCTGAAGACCAGAAAGCGCTTCCCAGGCAAAATACCTTTGCGGTGCTTGGGTAACTTGGAGTGAAGGTCTTTCTCTGATTCTGTCACCTCCATGGCGCTAGTGGTCCATTTCTTGAGCCATGCAGACCTTTGCAGGATGATCTTGTCGGGGTCCCAAGTGCAGTTGGTTTCAATTGCATACAGCATACTGGGAAACATGCCATCGAACAAATGGACTGGTGACCACGCCTGACTGCTTCTTCTATGATAGTCTCGATGGTCCATGGCACCCCAAAAGCGACTTGGAAAACCGGGCTGTCCTTCCCCTTTGTTTCCACGGTTTTGCTGACTGCAGGGTTCGACTATGTTCTGGGAGTTCTCGATCATCAGCATTGACCGTAGCACGCAACTTGGTGCCAACATCGAAGGGCGGCGGTGCTTTGATGTGCGCAGTTGGCTAAATGGCGTGCTTTCTTGTCGGGGTTTGCTGGTAGGTGGTGAGCTTGAGGACAGTGATCCTTCATTCCTGCGTCGAAGACAAGCTGTGCCCACTGTTGACAAAGTCCTAACGGGCATTCAACTTCACTAGCCGTGGCGAAGCCAAAGGGGGTGCGGCCCCAGGGAAGATGCACGTGCTGATTCGTGCATTCACATGAGAGCGCTTGCAGTGCCTCTGGATCCGTTGCCAGTGTTGTGCGCTTAGGCGGTCCCCCGCCAAACATGCAGCTGTGGAAGGTGACAAAAAGAGGCTGACAATGTTGTAGTACCCAAGTCCAAAATTTTGTCAACCAAAAGAGTGATCAAGCTGGTTGCTCCAACGACCATGTGACGCCCAGGGTGATATAAGCAATGATCCACCTGGCACAGGCAGAATAGACGGCGTTCGCAAGGCTGGCTCGCTGCTGGTCTTTAGGAGCAAGTCCTGGTAGGCCTTCTGGAAACTGGGGACTTCTGAGGGGTTTCGGCGCATTGGGATCTCCGTCGGTTGGGATTTCACGAGCCCTAGAACTTGTCCACATGGAATACCAAAGCGCGCATATGCACTTTTTGGATTGCGCAAGTAGCTATGGCGAGTTCTTCACCGTGTGGATCTCTAAGGTTCAATTTGATGACTGGAGCTTTACAAGTTGCTTTGACAACTCTATCTATCCCAAAGGAAGCTTTCATTCCCAATCTCCGAAGTTGTGCAATGAGTCTATCGCAAAGGGCACACTGTCTGCCTCGCCATGGCTGACTGGCAGAGGTGCTGGTCCCGCACCAAGGCCATGGGTCTCTTGCATCTCTTCCATGCTTTTCAAGTTTCCCACGCTCTGATTCTGTGGAAGGACGTCTTTCCGGTGATCCCTCAAACTTGCAGTTGCGCCTTCTTCGAGGTGCCTTGCATGTGGTTGAATTCTTTGTGACACGTGGGCCTCCGGTGGCCCTGAGGGGCTGCCCCCCTCGTGTTGTGATTTCTTTGGGCAGGCATAGTGGGGGTGCTTGTCATGGCACCCCTTTGTGGCGCAAAGGTGCTTCCCTTTCTCACATGGTTCACCTGCACCGGCTTTGTCACACCCACTGATGTTGTAGGCGAAACACAGGCGAGAACCATCAGGCAGGCTTGCAGCACATCCCCTCAAAGCCGAAGGCTTCCCCAAGCTGCCTGCAGCTCCCCACTTCTTGGTATTGCTTCCATTGTTGCTGCTTTGGCTTCTTCCGAGTGGGGCCCTCATCTCCACCATGTTGATGCCCATCTCTCGCAGCCGCTTTGGCCTTCGGCTTGGGTTTGTCTGGCTTGCTTCCACTTGGTGCAACAGTTGGGAGAAGGAAAAACATCGCCGTGTGGTCTTGGGCCATGTCCTCCAAGATGCTGTCGAGAGGACGTGTGCCATCTGGTTTTGGTTTGATGCTGTCCCGTGTCGGCGCAAATGCTTGGCGATCTGTGCGTAGAAGTTGTGTCACCCCCGGCTGCTTGAAACCTGGTGGTGCTGGCTCTCGCATGACTTGGAACATGTACGTCACCCATTTCTGGAAGACCTCGTAGTCAATGATGCCGCACGCATCGAAGGCTAAAGAGCGCCGAGTCATGGCCTCCCACATTATCCAGAAATTCCACCATTCTGCTGGCTTTGGGCTAGGATCCCCTGCCCAGATGAGTCCAAGCGCAACTCCTTGGGAGGTTTTGCCGATTGAATCTCTTGGAGTCTGGTGATGCACTTCGGTGGAGCGGGGTACTTCAAGGTCTTTGGCAAGGAAGGGTCTGCTACCGGATCAGCCTGGGCCCTGGACAATGCCACCATAGACGTCTGAGCTTCGAAGATCAGCCGCTTCATCACAACTAAGTCACCCACGGTAATTCCCCTCAAGGGACAGGTGCGAATGCAAGGCGACCAAGGTTGGTGATCCCGTCCCTCTTGAGGCCCTGGACAAAATCATGGTGCAGACCTAAATTTGCAGCTTGCTTTTCAAATGCCGCTGCACTATCAGCGATAGAAGTGGAAGC